CATTTTTTGCCACTAATGTATGTCCCCAGTTTCCCTCCCTCACTCCACCTCAATACAGATACTGAAAGTTTATCATATATATCCCATTACCTACTTTAACACTCAGTTCTTGTCCGGAGTGATCATTTCTAGCTATTATTATCATATTGTTCTATTCTCTATCTTAACTGCCCTTTGCCTCCCAACATACTTGTGGCAAGTTTCCAACCACTGACCAGTCCAACATGGATGAATTTTAATTCTACTGTGCTACGTGAAATAAAGCAGATGGGGCAGGGAGAGGGAGGTGTCGAGCAAAGAGATAGTACAATGGATTAAACGCTTGTCTTGCACACAGCTGACTCATATTTGACCCTGGGCACCCTTTATGGTTCCTGGAAGCCTGCCAGAAGTGATCCTTGAGCACAGAGCCAAGAGAAAGTCCTATTCACAGCTGTGGCCCCCCAAAACATAAATAAATACAAATAAAATAAAATGTATTCAATGCTACTGACTATAAAAGTAGTGTTACTTTATATTTCTGAATAATTTTCCATTATGTGAATGTACTACAAGTTGTTTGTCCATTCACCAACTAAAGAACATTTGACTTGTTTCCAATTTTGTTTGTTGTAAGTTCTTAGGTGCCAAAGAGGGGGAGCATTCTGAACTGAACACAGACCTCAAATATACCCAAGTCACAGCTTGCATGCTCTATTTAGCTTGTTATGATTGTGACTAAATCCACTATAGCATTTTATTATTCTAGTATTTTTCTTTTCCATATAATTTTTGGAATCAACCTATCTAGTTTCTACTGACAGAAAAAAAATAACTTCGTAGTCTGGTTGTATTTCACTGAATTTATAGAAACGAAGTTGAACAGAATTAGCTAGCATATGAACAACATGGAATGCTCTAATCCATTATATTAGATTTTGCCAAAATATTTTACTTAAATATTTAAATTGATTTACATATTCACTTACTTAAATCTTTTATTTTATTTTATTTTTGAAACAAATAGATTTTATTCGGAGGATTTTTGGAGAGGGAGAGAAAGGATAAGCAGATAAGCGGGGGAATGGAGAGTAAGAGAGAGAGAGTAACGCGTGCTTCTCCGAGGGTGGAGAGAGCCCCTACACACATCCTAGCATTAGACACGCAAACATGAAAGTACACATCTCAAGAGGGGAGATGCGGGCGACACATGTGCTGGGGCACCACAAGTGCTCAGCCACGTGGACGTAAGCAGACATGGGCTCAGGCAGCATATGCGCGCCCTTCCTTTGTTCCAGGTCTGGAGCTGCTTCATGCTGACAATGGGGCGCTGGCCCTGCCTACACAAGGGGTGAAATCTCATGCTACTTCATCTTTTTAGTGGCCCTCAGCAATGAATTGCTTGGGTTCCTGAAGTTATCTCCACAGCAGATTTTTCTAAAGATTATCTCCTTCCTCGTGGACTTCTTCACTGCCTGTCCCTTCGTGGTCGCCATCTGATGTCGGTGGGCCTCACGGGTGACTTATGTAAAGCAGGGAGGAGAAAGACGGTTACTTTCTCCCCACCCGCCTCTGCCACCCAGGACCCAGGGTTACTGCGTTCTTGTCTCGCCTCGCAGAAAGGAATTTCAGGAGTAGACAAGCAGTGAAACAAATAGATTTTATTTGGAGGATTTTTAGGCGCGGAGGGAGAGAGAGAGAGAGAGAGAGAGAGAGAGAGAGAGAGAGAGAGAGAGAGAGAGAGAGTGTGTGTGTGTGTGAGAGAGAGAGAGAGAGAGAGAGAGAGAGAAAGAGGCAAAAGCATGAAAGTACACATCTCAAGAGGGGAGATGCGGGCACCACATGTGCTCAGCCACATGGGCATAAGCACACATGGGCTCGGGCAGCATCTGCGCCTAAATCTTTTATTTTAAATATAAAATTTATTTTTATTTAAAATTCCACTTAAAAAACTTTAATTTCCCTTAATTGTTTTCAGTGTACAAATTTTGCATTTTTTTTTTCTTTCTGGGTCACACCTGGTGATGCTCAGGGGTTACTCCTGGCTCTGCACTCAGGAATTACTCCTGACAGAGTCAGGAATTACTCAGGTATGACTCCTGACGGTGCTTGGGGAACCATATAGGATGCTGGGAATTGAACCTGGGTTTGTTGCATGCAAGGCAAACGCCTTACCCACTGTGCTATTGCTCCAGCCCCAAATTTTGCATATCTTTAGCTACTGCATTATCTGTTTATCCACTTCAGCTCAGTGTCCAGGGTATATATTTACCCCCAAATATTTTGTTTTCACCTTTTAAAAAGTCAACTGTCTATTCATTACTAATATAAAGAAATATAATTGGTTTATATTTTATTTAATTATGGAGTGACAGCACAGCAGTAGGGCATTTGCCTTGTGCTCAGCCAGCCAGCCTGGCCAAGCCGGGTTTGATTCTTCCGCCCCTCTCGGGGAGCCCAACAAGCTACAGAGAGTATCTCGCCCCCACGGCAAAGCCTGGATTCAATATGCCAAACACAGTAACAACAAGTCTCAAAATGGAGATGTTACTGGGCCCACTCAAACAAATTGATGAACATCTGGAGGACAGTGACAATATCAATTATATTTAATATAATTGATTTCCATTCTGAAGAATTTGAGAACAGATAGAGAGTCCCATGATAGAGCTATGTTAGAGTCTTCTGATAGAATAGATAGTCCTATGATAGAGAACAGATAGAACTTATTATTTCTACTTATCCTTCTAGCAGGTTTTTTTTCTTCATAGACTTTTTAGGATGGTGTGTGAATAAAAAACTACTTCCAATTTAACTTTTTGTTAATTTTCTTAATTTCATTGGTTACAATAACTAGACCTGAGGGTAGATATACGTGTTTGTTTGTATTAAAAGGAACAAAACAACGGATCTCAAATGGAGCAGTTTATCTAAGACCTCCTAAGATTTAATACCTAATCTACTATTTCAGCCTCTCCCCAAAGTGGAATTTCAAACCATTCTGTCTGGAATTTCCAAGTTCATACAAGTGAGATTATATACATGATAATAATCCTCTTGCTATATCACCCACCTCTATATCACCCACATCAGTGATATAGAATAAGGGGTAAAATGCTTGCCTTGCATTGCCGACCCATGGTTCAGTCCCTGGTACCATCAGAGCTCACTCCAGAGCACTGAGCCAGGAATAGTCTCCAAGCACTACACAGTAAAGCCCAAGCTTGCACACAAACCCCCTTCACTCACTAAAAATCTCCTTCTCCAACTGCCTTCCCTAAGGAAGGTGGCTTTTCCAAAAATAATACTCTCTTCTTTACTGTAACTTTGGTTAATTTTCTGATAATAAAAAATGTTTCAATTTTCTTGAAGCACCTCTTGACTTACAAGATGGAATGCTTCCTGATTTATAGGTGGTTGAATCAAGTCAATTAGATTTTTAGATGAATTTTATAATATCTCAAACATAGTATTTCACCACTGAAAGTAGTTTGAGCTGTCATACCATTTTATCATAGACTAGGTGACTTAGACAACACAAATTCATTTTTTCATGGCCTAGAAGGTAGAAATCTAAGCCCGAGGTGTCAGTGGGGATTCTGTTTTCCCTAGGCCCTCTTTCCCCAAGTTGTAGCTAGCAGTCTTCTCCCTGTATGTTCACTTAGACTTCTCTGTCTGTCTCTTTTTATGAAGTACATCAGTGATCAATATCACAGATTATGCCCTCCCTCATTTTATTCAGTTACATCTTGATATACCCAGTCTTTATACACAGTCACATTCTGACGTTCTGGCAGTTAGGGCTTCAACATATGAATCTGAAGAGGACATGATTCAGCACCCCCCAAATAATTAAAATGTTAGCTGGAAGTTTTGGTAGGTTATTAAACAACTTATTTCTAGTTTCCTAAAACTTTAAAAAATCATGAACAAGTACTGAATTTTGTCCATTTCCGTCTACATCTGTTGAAATGATTACGTATATCCTTTCCCTTCTACTCACATGATGAATTACACCGATGTCTCAAATACTAAGCCAACAGTGCATAGCTACGATTAAACAGATTCAGACACTATATGTCATGGTATTTTGCCAACTTTTATTTGGAGAGATATTATAGAATACTTACATAGGGTGGAGAACACAGAGAATGTTTGTGAATGGAGGGGGCAAAGCTGTAAAAAAGCTTTATTTTTTAGAGATTGGGTAGGGCACTTACCTTGCATGTGACCGACCAGGGTTTAGTCTCCAGAACTACACAATAATGTTCCCAGAGTCCCATCTGGAGTGATCCACAGAATAGGCAGATTATTTCAAGATATGTAGCCAAACTTTAGAAATATTTCGAAGGGTATAACATGAAGCAAGGTTCTTGGCAGTTTTTGTATCATTTGACTTCTTCAATTTGCATCATTTTAGTGTAAATCAAAATTTACAATAGTAAAAGAAATCTTCACCTAGAAACTAGTGACTTCTTGTTTTTTGTGTGTTAGGTTCCCTATTCTGCTGGGATTTTGTTTTTGTTGGCACATGGTGTACAAACAACGAACAAGAGCATCTGTTTTCCTTCTCAAATAGTTAAGTAACAGACTTTCTGGTTAGTCCTTAATATTTTCCCATGACTTGTAAATAAGGTGATTTATACAAGAATGTGACTACAAATATCTGCTCCTGCACACTAATCTGAGCTACAGTGAGAAGTGGAGAGGCTCTAAGACACCAGCGGTGCAAGGGCACGAGTCTGATTTCTGAAAGCAGGTGGCGGCTGGAAATGGGACGCTTCGGGAAATCTGAGAGGGTCTAAGTAATGAATGAAAGCGCAAGCACGGGCGGCCAGATCCAAACACTCAAGCCCTGACACCTGGTCACGCTTCCACCAGGTGAAACCCGGCGGAAGGTAACTGCAGCGTGCCGAGGGCTGCGGCGCAGGCAAAGGCCCGCGGGTAGCGGTGCGAAAGCTCCCGGCCGTCCCAGCGCAGCGATTGGTTGGCGGCCCAGCGCGGGGCGAGCGTCACTTCCTGGCGCGGTCCTAGAGCCCGCCGCGTTAGGATGGCCGGCGCGGGGCCGCAGCGGCCGCGTCCGGGAGTCGGAATCGGAGTGGTGGTGACCAGCAGCCGGCACCCTCGGTGCGTGCTCCTCGGCAAGCGGAAAGGATCATTCGGCGCTGGCATGTTCCAGCTTCCCGGCGGTCATTTGGAGTTCGGGTGAGCCACGGTAGGGTGAGCCCCTAGGACGCTGACCGTGCACGCGAGTGACCTGTCCACACGTGCGTGCGCACGCGCCGCTCCCCGGCTCCCCGCGGACCTGCGGGCCGGCTGCGGAGCATCTCGGAACTTCCCTGGGCTGGGCGGTGGGGCAGCCCGGTCACTGCCTCGCCTACTGGGACTTGGTCTGTGGGAGGTTTGGAAAAACTTAGAGGCACCGTAAAAAACGGAAATTGACTCTCAGCATCCAGACGTCCTTCTGTGTACGTGAACGAACTGCCTGTGATTTACACGTACACAACTGATAAATAACTGTGCGTACCATTACTGTCGGAGCAGATGGGCACGGAAAACTCTCGCCGCCTCCCTTATGCTTTTTATTTTATTTTGTTGTTTTCTGGCGGTGGTGGGCTCACCCCGCAGCATCACCCAGGCGAGACAAAGGCCTGCTGCGCACTGAAAATCCTTCCTAGGTCTTTTCATCTTTAAAATGGGGGGTCGGGCGAAGTACTCTTTTAAACATACTTTTCTCTATTTTGGCGTTCTGGGATTTGATGTGTAAGATGGGCAAACCTGGACAGCTAAGAGGTCTACACAAAGTTGACGAAAATCTAGAGTTGTGCTAAATTGTGGATAGTGAGCTGAAGTCAGCAGTAGATACTCTTTTTTCCTTTTTTTTTTTTTTGCTATTTGGGTTACATCTGGTGATGCTCAGGGGTTACTCCTGTCTCTGCACTCAGGAATCACTCCTGGTGGTGCTCAGGGTACCATGCTGTGCTTTTGTAACATGACTCTCAGTGATATTTTCCTCCTGGGCATCTGTTCTCTGGACTTAAGCCTCAGCTGTCCTTACTTCCTAGTGCCCCTAAAAGCAGGGTCCCGACAAGGGACTGGATGGAACAAGGGCAAGTGGTAAGCTATGTGCCACCCTGGATTGAGATGGGCCTTGCCAAAGTGCCATGATGCTTAATTTTAATTTAATGTTAAGACCTTGGTCATGGACAAAGCTGTCATGATCCAAAAAGTAATAACTAGATTCGGACCCTGCTAGGGTTAGGAATGATTAATCTGGCCTGAACTCTGTAGTCTGAGTCTGTGGCAAGATGTTCCCAGGTGAGCTGCTCTACAAGCCTCAATGTATCTCTTACTGTGTCCATACAAAAATAACTAGTATTAAGATGTTGATAGTTATTGGACTGAGGAAAGGAGAAAAACACCTAAAGAGGTATTTTGCCCTTGGGCAGTCAGGAAGGGCTTTGGAATGTTTCCTAGGTGATGTTTCCTCCCTTGAGCCTGGCAGTCTGGAAGGTCTTTCTTATGTTGATTTTGCTAAGGGACTTGGTGCTTTGTCAGCTCAGAGTGCTGGGGAGTTGGAGTGACAAGAGAGCTGGAGAGAGGAAGAGAGTGAGAGAGATGAGAGAAAGAGCATGGCAGCAAGATGGAGTGTGGAGAGACTAGAAGAGGGACAGAGAGAGGAGGATGGAGAAGAAGAATACAGGAGCAGGTGCATGGAGAGAGAGCCCAGGCTGCGAGATGGAGCACGGAGAGATGAGTGGGGAGAGACCGGAGGAGATGGGAATGAGGGGCAGTGTGAGACTAGAATGGGGGGCTCAGAGAGACTGGGGCAGGCGCGTGGGAAGAATGGAATAAATGGCATCTGATCAACTTGCTTGGCCCTCGTTTCGTCCACCGTCTGCCCCATGACCTGGGCCACCCCGTGATCGGGGTGAGCAGCCCGGGGATCCCCCAGAACCCTGGAAGGCTAGGGGAAGAGCATCAGGGCCTCCCCGTGGCCGCCCCCTGAGATATTATACAATCACCCAATTGCCCAGTCCTCTTACCACTGCCCACAGAAATCTTGCAGCCTACTTCCACACCCTTAGATAACCTCACTTTTGTTGCCAGAGAGTTTGTCTTGATTGGACTTCCTGTCTTCCTTTGCTTTGTTTCTTTACATTGATGAGGAAAATAAAACCCTTGTACACATTTCAAAGTGGTTAACAGCAAAGAGTTGCTGCCCAGAGGCTGCCGAATGTGGGTGACATGATGTAGCCATGGAATGTGTTCGGGACGTCCTGGAGAGGGTCATAGTCTTGCATTGTAAGGGGGAAATGGACTCTCAGTGTCCCCATGCCCTCGAGATGGTCTTGCCTTGGTTTTGCAGATAGCATGCTTAGGAATTTCTTCTATACTTTCCCAGCAGCTGCCTGCAAATGCCGTATCCCGGGTCAGATATTCTATAGTTGGATACTCTCACCTTTGTTCGAGCCAAGTCTTTCAGTCAAGCTCTGCTGGGTCCCTGGCGTAAAATTCCTGAGTTCTGTCAACTCTCAGAGCCTGAGGCTCAAGGTGAGAATTTCTACAGTAGGAGTGAGATCATAGAGTATTTTTCTTCTGACTTATTCCACTCATCTGTCCAGTTTCATCTGTGTTGTAGCAAAAGGCAGTATTTCCTCATTTCTTATAGGTGTGAGTACTCTTTCATTATGTACATATACACTCTTCTGTTCTTGGGTACATAGGTGGTTTCTTTCTATACCTTCGCTGTTTTAAAAATAGCATTACATCTCCTGCCCTCCACCCCCGATGAGATTCTGAGATGACGCCACATCTGCCCACTGTCTACTTAAGATCCCGCACAGCACGATTCAGAGACACACAAAGGAATCTTGGACCTGAGCAACTTGTGGCAGGCATTTCTTCAGATCTAATTATTAAAATCTTAGAATTTCTAGAGCGCACGGCTGCTATTATTATATCCATAACAATCAATACAAAACACACTGTTTAGCATTGCATTTTCGGCAGGTATCTCACCCGCATGGCAAAGCCTGGCAAGCTCCCCGTGACGTATTTGATATGCCAAACACAGTATCAAGTCTCACAATGTTACTGGGCCCGCTCGAGCAAATCGATGAACAACGGGAGGACAGTGACAATGACAGTGATGAGGGGTGGTAGGACTGGTCTCGAAATATCGAAGGTAACTAAAGTAGAGAAAGAGTATTTTGCAAATTCTCTGCCACGCAGGCAGGGGGAAGTGTGGAATGGGGTGTGTGGGGAGGGGATACTGGGGATTCTGGTGGTGAAAAACATGCACTGGGAAGGGATGGGTGTTTGATGACTGTGATCGAAGTTCAAACATGAAATTTTTGTTACTTTACCTCACACTGAATTAATTAAAAAAATAAATTAAAAAAAAGCATACAATGAATATTGGTACACATATATATCTCTTTGAATGTTCTGTGTTCTTTGGCTAGATACCTAGGAATGGAATTGATGGATCATATGGTAGATCGGTTTTTAATATTATCTTCATGCTTTTTCTTATGAGACTGGGCCAACTTCTAGTTCTTGGGCACTTGGGTTGTTTCCAGATCTTAGTTGCAAATGATGCTGCAGTGAACATAGGAGAACAAATGTCTTTTCTTTTTCTTTCTTTTTTTCAGTTTTTGGTTCACACCTGGTGGTGCTCAGGGCTTAGTCTGTGTTTAGGGATCACTCCTGGTATGCTTGGGGGAACACATGGGATGCCGGTGATTGAATCTGGGTGCGCCACGTTCATGGCAAACGCCTTACCTACACTGCACTATTTTCTTGAGAAAATGGTTAGCTTGCATACCACATCCAGACTTGTGAAGTCCTGCTAAGATTAGCTAAATGTTCATCATTTGTCCAATAAGAAGTTCTTTTGGTCTTCAGATATGTAGGTATAAATGTACAATATGTCAAAAGCACAATTTATTTGCTTTAAATTTAAAATTGGTTTGTTGTTCTAAAGCATGAACCAAATATATGTTAGATTTTTCTAGCCAAGAATTTTTTTTTTTTTGCTTTTTGGGTCACACCCGGCGATGCACAGGGGTTCCTCCTGGCTCTGCACTCAGGAGTTACTCCTGGCGGTGCTCGGGACCATATGGGATGCTGGGAATCGAACCCGGGTTGGCTGCGTTCAAGGCAAACGCCCTACCCGCTGTGCTATCTCTCCAGCCCCACTAGCCAAGAATTAACGGGAAAAAAAAGTTACCTAAAAAGAATTGAATCCAATGGTGTGTTTCTGTTTTTCAGAGAAAGCTGGGAAGAATGTGCTCAAAGGGAAACCTGGGAAGAAGCAGCTCTTCACCTGAAAAATGTTCGCTTTGCTTCTGTTGTGAATTCTTTTGCTGAGAAAGAGAATTACCATTATGTTACCATATTAATGAAAGGAGAAGTAGACATGGTTCATGATTCAGAACCAAAGAATGTGGAACCTGAAAAAAATGAAAGTAAGGGAATTATTTATAATAATGCTATTTTCCTTGAGGAGAAACTACCGGTTCAGGTTTTTTTTTTTTTCTCTCTTGGGGTCTCCAAGTGGTGCTCCAAGTGGTGCTCCAGGGACCACTTGACTGACCTGGCTCCCAGCTGGTGGGGGGAGGGGGGGCAGAGCCTGGGGATGCAGTGCTGCTTGGGCCACCAGGACTATATCCAGTAGTGCTTGGGAAGCCATTGATGCCGGGGATCGAACTCCGGCCAGGCATCCTTTATACTATCTTATTTTTTTGCTGGGCCTCACCAGGCTATGCTCAAGACTTACTTCTGGCTCTGCACACAGGGATCTCTCTTGGCAGTGCTTTGGGGATCATATGTGGTGCCGGGGAACAAACCTGGGTTGGCAGTTTTCAAGGCAAGCATTCTGCCCGCTGTTTTATCTCTCTGGCCCCTGGATTTTAGTTTTGAAATGTAGTTTATTCATATGAGCATAGATTAATATTATTTTTAACTGGATTCTAAATTTTAATATTTTTGCATTGTTAGGGATAGTACTTAGAATCTTATAGACACAAAGCATGAAATACTGAGCCACATTCTAGCCCCATTTCCTTATTTTTATCAATAAACTGTCAAACTGAAATTGATGTCTTTCTATTTTAGGCTGGGAATGGGTTCCATGGGAAGAATTTCCTCCATTGGACCAGCTTTTCTGGGCACTCCGTTGTTTAAAGGAACAAGGCTATGATCCATTTAAAGAAGATATGGATCACCTGAAAGGATACAAGGGCAATCACTGATAAGTGAACAAGAAAAAACATCCCTGAATTCTTTTTTTTAAAAGAAGATCTTAGAGAAAGGAAAAATACTTACGTTTCAGAAGTCTATTTATCCTAAGAAGTTTCAGATGATTAACAGTTTATTTGCAGTTTTCCTAATATAACCATCATTCTTTCTGTGAATATTTATGGAAACTTTCTGGGATTCTCTAAGAATCTGCATTTCAGACACAGCATGATCAACAATGATCACATCTTGGTTAACTGTTCGGTGTTTCTCGGTGATATTTACTGTGTTGCACTGATACCAGCTAGCATAAGGAAAGGTGCAGTGAGATTTGCTATAGTGTTTCAGTTCAAACGGACAACCTAATCCAACTGTGAATACAATGTGCTTGTTGTAGAGTTAATGGTGTATGTTGATTTTTCCCCTTGTTTTATTTAAAACAAATTTTGTTTTGGTAAGTGCTATAAAAGTACTGTGATTGGAGCAAATAGGAGTGACCCATAAGCATATTTTCCAGGTTTCTGATGGAGAACCAAGACTAGGATCTATTTCTTATCAGTGATCTTGGACTTCTCAATCTCTGTGAGATCGAACATCCTTATATATGAAATGAGATCAAACTGGGGCCTTGGTTCTCAAACCCCTGGGGAGGTCCTTGGGACCCCCTTAAGAGTTTGTAAGGTCAAAGCTGTGTCTGGTCGTACCATGACATTATTTGCCTTTTTCACTCTTGTTGAGTGTAGAGAGGAGCTTTCCAGAGGCTACAAGATGATACTCTTTAACAGCCTGCTGACAAAATATAAAAGTAGACTTGTGAATCCAGCTCTCTTTGTTAAGCTAAAGAAATTCACATAAATTGCAATCACTAGTCCTCTTCATCCTCCTTTCCTTTTTTAGAAAAGTTACTTTTTCATCAAAGTTATTTATATTAACATGTAATTTTTTTCAAGTTGGAGATAGTACAGCCAGCAAGGTCTGTACCTTGTACAAAGCAAACCCAGTTTCGATTTCCAGCATTCCTTATCCCCAGCACCAGCACAAATAATTCCTGAGTGCTGAGCCAGGAGTAACCCCTGAGCATCACTGGGTGTGACCTCCATACAAAAAAACAAAACAACAAAAAAAAACATAAAACACTTCAAATAAATTAATAAAAATATTAAAATTTCTCTTTTAAAATTCCTATTACATGAGTAGATAAAACTCTACAAAAGTAAAAACTCCTTGAGGCCCTTTAACTTCGGAACAAAAAGGGCTGTAAAACCAAAATGTTAAAAAAAAAAAAAAAAAAAACCTGCTGATTTAGACCCTTAATTCAAATCTGTGAAATCCTGTGCTTCTAGAGCTAGCTGAACTGGGGCATTTTTCTTCCAAAAGACTGGAGTATTTTAAAACTTATTTTTTTTATTGAATCACCATGATTGAGCACCAGACCCTTCACCAGAGTCCCCTTCTTTCCACCAACGTCCCCCATTTCCCTCCTACCCCGCAGCCTGCCTCTGTGGCAACCACATTTCCTTTTCCTTCAGGCACTGTAGTTTGCAATATTGTTACTGAAAGAGTATCATGCATATCACTTTACCTCCTTTCAGCACTCAGTTCAGTATTTCTTGGCATATATGCTACAAATCCCCCTCCCACCCCCCCACCTACCCTTCTTCCTCACAGGGGCCAAAGAGAAGTATAGGGGTTAGGCATTTAACTTGCAAACAGCTGATCCCATCTCAGTCTCTTGCACTGTATATGGTGCTCTGAGCATGACTAGGAGTGAGTCCTGAGCACAGAACCTTAAGTAAGCCCTGAGCACCTCTGGGTGTGGCCCAAAATCCAAAACAAAGAATGATACAGGGTTAGAAAGATAGTACAGTACTGAGGTTAAGGCACTTGCCTTGTAAAAGGTCAACTTTGGTTGGATCCCTGGTACCATCACTGTCCTCCCGTTATTCATCAATTTGCTCGAGCGGGCCCAGTAACGTCTTCATTGTGATAATTGTTACTGTGTTTGGCATATCGAACACGTACGCCAAGGGTAGCTTGGCAGGCTTTGCCGTGCAGGCGAGATACTCTCGGTAGCTTGCCAGGCTCTCTGAGAGGGGCGGAGGAATCAAACTCGGGTTGGCCATGTTGGCCACTTGCAAGGCAAAAGCCCTACTATTGTGCTATCGCTCCAGCCCCTGGTACCATATATGGTCTCCCAAACACCAGGAGTAATCCCAGAGCATAGAGCCAGGAATAAGCCCTGAGCACCACTAGGTATACAGAAAAACTTAAAAAAAAAAAAAGAGTGAAAGAATAGATTTTTTTTCCAGGAATAAATATCATTTCGAAGTTTTTTCATAAAGGTTTTCTATATTGCATTTTTGGGCCACACCTGGCAGCACTCAGGGATTATTCCTGGCTCTGTGCTCAGGGGTCAGTCCTGGCAGGCTTGGAGGATCATATGTGGTGTTGGAAATTGAACCCGGGTCAGTTGTGTGAAAAGCAAACGCTCTGCAAGCTGTGCTCTTATCCTTTTTTCATGGTTTAAACTTTTAAATCATGATTTCAGCCATACAGCATTCCAACACCCATCCCTCCACCAGTGTACATTTCCCAGTACCAGTGTCCCCAGTTTCCCTCCCATCATCCCCCCCCCCCCCCATCCCCCAGTTTGCCTCTATGGCAGGTGCTTTTCTTCTCTCTCTTGTCTGCCCTCTTTTGGAAAGTAAAGTAAAATCATTTTATTTAGGGTAGGAGAGAGTACGGGTGTTAAGATGCTTATGCACTGTTTGATCCCTGGTACTACATATGGCCCCCGAAGCATCACCAGAAGTGCCCTTCAAGCACAGAACCAAGAGTAAGCAGAGCACCCCATCCCCCAGTGAGACCCAAAAGCCCCCCCGCCTCCCAGAGTAAAGATGAAAGCTGAGCATATCTCTGGAGATGAAGGCAAATCATCAAGACAGAGAATACACCTCATTCATTTTTTAAAAAATTTTTTAATACACTGTGACAAAAGCTATTTCTATTAGTTACTCGAGGCCATCTTACTTGATGACCTGCTATACTGTATTGTCTCCTTACAAGAAAGTTCCTTTATCCAAAGACCTTGTCTTTCTGTGGCTGATTTGTTACATGTTCTTTATAGTGGTTTTTGCTTTGGGGTCACAGCAGTGGTGCTTGGGTAAACAGTATTTGGAACTAAAAATTGAACTAGGACTGGCAGCATACAAACACTAACCCCTATACTCTCTCTGGTTCTCTTTTTTTTTTTTCTTTTTGGGTCACATCTGGCGATGCACAGGGGTTACTCTTGGCTCTGCACTCAGGAGTTACTCCTGGCGGTGCTCAGGGGACCATATGGGATGCTGGGAATCAAACCCGGGTCGGCCGCATGCAAGGCAAACATCCTACCCACTGTGCTATCTCTCCAGCCCCTCTCTTGGTTTTTAAATGAAAAACTTTGAACTGAAGAGGTGCTCAAATTCTTGCAGAAAGTGGCAGTGATGAGGAACCTTAAAGGCTGTGGGGTGCTGGCATTCAGACTGGCCATGGCAGATAAGGAACCACAGGTAAGGAACCGGTTCTTATATCCTGCCTCTAACAGCTGGGTGACTGGCAACTTTAAAAGGGTTTTTTTTTTTTTTTTAAATTTTTGCTTTTTGGGTCACATCCAGCGATGCTTAGGGTTACTCCCGTCTCTGCACTCAGGAATTACTCCTTGTGGTACATGGGGGGCTATATTAAATTCTGGGGTTTGCTGCTGGGTTGGCCACGTGCACGGCAAATACCCTACCTGCTGTACCAGCCCCTAAAGAGGTTTTAAAATGCAACCATTTATGGAGTTGCAGAGACAATGCAATTTGCCCTGCATGTTCAATCGCTGGCACCCCAGATGGTCCCTTGAGCACTGCCAGGTGTGCCCTCCCAAAAAGTAAACAACATGATGATTGTATTTTGCGCAAGTCCTTTGCTGATGAGGGGGTGCTTTTTCTAACTCTTGGATACGAAAGCATGTTCTTTAAAACCTTGGTCATTGGAGTGCAATTCTGTCATTATAAATCCAGCTTGATGGCAGCATTACTATTTGTATGTCATCAAAATGAAATCGTATTGTTATATCACCAAGACACAATATTCTGTTATAGAAAGCCTACCTGCATTAGAAAAATAATAAGTGCTTTGTCTATGAATTACAGCAGTGTGGTTTTTTCCCCCCAGTTCAGTTACTTTCTATCCTCACGCTTGCTGTACACGAGTATCAAAGGATGTCAGATGTGTTGACTTAGATGCCTCTTTTAGTACTCCAAGATCAAAAGGAACTTTTCACCACAGAAAAAAGCGATCTTAAAAGTATGACTTTTCTTGGTTTTGTCTAAAGACTACACGAACTCTGGGTTCTATGTCATAAGAGACCTGTGTCATGTGTTTATTTTAAGCCACTCAGCTTGTGGCGTCTTTAACAGCAGAAGTTGAAACTGATAGTATAAAGATCATGGAGACAAAAATACTTGCCTTGGGCTAGAGATTAAGCTGAAGGGGGGAGAGGGGCTAAGGTGCTTGCTTTGCAAGTAGCAAATTCCGGTTCCATCTCCAACCCCACACACAGGCCCTCCCAAGCACCACCAGGAGTGACCCCAGAGCACCTACCACCAGGTGTGGCCCCAACAAATAAAACCCCCAGAATTAAGTGTATAAAATGCAACAAATAATTTCTTACAGTGAAGGAATATTTTAAAATAAAAAATACAAACTAAAGTGATTTATTTACAATAATTACAATAGGTACATATAATACAGAGAATTTCTCCTGTTACTGTGACAGAAGATAACAGCCTTTACTTTCAAATGAGGTTTGGATTTTGAGATTATGGTATACAATCAGCACTGTCCTCTTTTATTTTTTTAGGTTTTCTATGTATTTCCAAGACTATATTAGTGATATGTACATAAGTCATGTCCCTCAAATTTTATTTAAATAACTACTATGTACAAGTCCAACACAACTGGAATAGAACAGGGTCAGAGGGTCAGATAGCACTGACCAGAATAAGCTTTTCCAACAGTAAATTTTTCTCTAGTGGTTTAGAACTGAAGCCATGATTTATGGCTTTAAAAAGAAAAGTCCATGTGGAGTTCATGCCCAATTCAATCAGCTAATCAGTGGCTGAATAAATAGCAGTACTCCTACATTAAAAAAGAAAACAAAACTGCACAACTGCATTGTATCCAACATTACCTGCCTATCTTTAAGAAACTGAGTTTTTTATTATTCAGTTTCTTGTCAATGATTTTTAATCAGAGTCACTACTACTGCTGGAGGAGTCTGTTGACATAACTTCTACATCATCTTCATTTTCTTTATTATGTCCTGGAGGTTCCAGTAAAAAGTCACTACTGTGACTTGGTGGAAGCATATTAATTGACATATCATTTGATTGCCATGGGTACTGAGGAGCAAGGACATCTGGAGAAAAGAAGAAGCATGTGTAAGAACATTTCTACCACGGATTAATTTTTCTTTTGCTGTTCATGAAGTAAAACATTTTAAAGGCTGGAATAAAAATACACATGTGGCTAAGATTAAACTGTGAATGATACTTTAGTAGCTAGAACTTGTTTAAAACTGACTTTCCTTTAAGAAACTCTTTAGATAAAGTCGAATGACATTTTTTCACCTGTAAGACATCGATAGCAACAAATCAAACATCTCCTTCAGGAGTGGGGATGCAGCGCAGAGCATAGCACTAGCTTTGCATTCAGGGGGTGGGGTTTTCAGAATCTATTCCTAAAGAAAGGGGATATAGGCCGTAAGCCAGTGTAGATCAAGTCTAAGATTTTAAAAGAGCTAAAAGAGTCCTATAATTGGCTAAAAGATGGCCAGTTACCAAATGCCTCTTAATCCTCAAACCCACTCTTCTCCCTGGACCCTGAAAACATTTCTCCTTTGTCAACATACAGTTTTGTCAGTAGGGGGCACTCAAGTGCCTTTATGGGAGGAATAGCTTATCTTTCTGAATTCTGCTGTTTCCTCATTCTTCTGGTATCTGGTGGTTTTGGTGTATTTGATCATCTTCACTCTTTAACAAATTTCAGCTTGATCTCAGAAGGTGGTGTTCCACTTACGTTTCACCTTTACTCCAAAGAGTAAGTCTCAGGCATCAGAATAGGTAATTTTCTACTTGCCAGTTCTGGCCTGTGACACCTCACCTAACTGCTCTGCTATCCAGTGGGTCAAGCAATAGACCCACAATGAGGGCATCAAGATATGTGCCAACCTTGGGCTTGGCTGAAGAGGAGACTCATTTATCAGTCTCCACAGGGGGAGGTGGTGGTAGTGGTGGTACACCCTGCCTTGGTCTTAGGTCAAGTCACTGCTTCCTGTATTTGTTATTCCTGTGTCTTTTACCACTACCTTGTTAGTTACTAGAAAAGTTTTAAATTTTCCTCGCTTACATTGTTGGTGTGGTTCCCAACTCCTAATTGGACCGTGGTCTGCATGTGACAGGGCAATCACAATGAGAACAATGAGATGGCCTGGGAAACTAATAAATAGGGAATTCCCAGGACGTAACCAAAATGATGTTTACAGCATTTTTTGGACTTGTTTTTGGGCCACACCCAGTGGTGCCCAGGATTTACTTCTGGCTCTGTACTCAGGGAACCATATTCCTGGAAGGCTTGGGGGACCATATTGGGTGCCAGGGACTGAACACGATCAGCAGCATACAAGGCAAGTGCTTGACCTGCTGTACCATTTCTAGCCCCAGTAACCAAAATTTCTGCAATAAAATGCTAAGCCCCCCAAAAGGTACTTAAATGTTTCTAACTTCAACCTAAAAACCAGACCGGAACTGAAGCAAGTGTTCAAGGAGCCTATTTTTTCCTGTGTTACACTGTTCTTAAACTTTAAAAATGTTTTACAAATCAAAACAAGTCACCTTTAAAAGATAAAATATGGTAGCAATAAAATAAGAACAGCATACCTGCAGAACTTGAAGAAAGCTCACAGTAAATAATGATTATATTTAAAACTGATTTAAAAAGCTTTATTTTTTTCTTGGGCTGGAGCGATGGCACAGAGGTAGGACATTTGCCTTGCACACAGCTGGCCCGGCTGAACCGGGTTCGATTCCTCCACCCCTCTCAAGAGCTCAGCAAGCTACCGAGAGTATCTCGCTCGCATGGCAAAGCCTGGCAAGCTATCCGTGACTATTCAATATGCCAAACACAGTAACAAGTCTCAAAATGGAGACGTTACTGGGCCCGCTCGAGCAAATCGATGAACAACGGGAGGACTGCTACAGTGCTATTTTTTTCTTGCAAGTTCTTCAGAGTATGTTCACTTTAGTTTTTAAACCGAACATAGATACCATCTTACAATTTACACAGTATGATTAACAATTTTTAAAAAGTGTACTTAGAGCAATGACTTTTAAAAAGGTATGCAATCGCCTTTATACAGAAAAATGGTATTTAGCATGGCAGAGAACTCAATTTTCATTACTTCCGCCTAGAACAGACTTTAACATAAGCAAAAGTAGCATAAAAACTCCTGTTTGTGTGCGTGGGGGGGTGGTGGTGGTGAGGAGGAGGCACAGAGTAATCCCATGTAGAGAACTTAACTACCACTATCCTGAGTTGGATCCGGCAAACACTAGCTAGTTTGAAAACATCCTTCTGAGGAACATTACCTGGCAATCTGCCCGCTGCAAGTGCATCTCCTGGTAGGTGACCGTTCACACCATTAGAAGAAGGGTTGTTCATTTGACCCAATAACCCGCTTCTCATCTCTAAGTCAGTTGGGTATGGTCTCCGTGGGTCCCCTTATTTAAAACAAACAAACAAAAATAACTTTGATATCCAATACAAGAATTTGGGCAAATGTCTTGCATGTTAAGGACCTGGGCTGATTCCTGACATCACAAATAGTAAACAATGACAAATGGTTGATACACTCACATACTGTATCACTTTTGAAGCCTTCCAGCTATATTTTAAAGTTTGAAAGGAGAGACCGTCTTATCAGTTGTTTTCAGGAACTTATTTAAAATTATATGCATTCTGAGTATTCATAAACTCCATACTGTTTTATAAATGGGCAAAAATAACATTTTAGCAAAATTCCAAATGACAAAAGATACTGATTCTTCTTTCTAGTAAGAAAAGAGGAATAATGTATACTCTGAAGGATGATTGTACCTTTGTGTGTGTGTGGGGGGGGGGGGCGCCACGGGGCTGGGGAGGTCACAGTGGCCTGGCTTACAGGCTACTCCTGACTCCAAATTCAGGGATTGCCTGGGGGGATCATGCAGTGCAGGGGATAAAATTTGGGCCTCTTGAAAGGGACATACATGATAACCTTTCAGTACCTGTATTGCAAACCATGATGTCCAAAGGTGGGGGGTGGGAAGGGGAAAGAGGAGAGAGGAAAGAGAAAGGAGAGACAGAGAGAGAGAGAGACAGACAGAGGAGAGGAGAGAGACAAGAGAGAAAAAGACAGACAGGCAGACAGGGGACAATGATGGTGGGAAATATGCACTTGTACAGAGACCAGTGTTGAACTGTCTGACTGAACCCAATCATGAGCAACTTTGTAACTGTTTATCTCACAGTCACTTAATTAAAAAAAGAAAAAAAAGTCAGGAGTGACTTACTTTGACTTCTGCACTCAGGGACCATTCCTGGCAGGCTCGGGTGCTAGGGCTCGAACCTAGGTCGGCCACGTGCAAGCCCCACACTTTATTTGGGGGGATGGGTGCATTGTTTTGGGGCCACACCTAGCAATGCTTACAGATTACTCCTGGCTCTACACTCACTGCAATCACACCTGGCGGTGCTCAGGGGACCATATAGGATGCCAGGAATTAAATCTGGATTGGTGGCGTGCAAGGCCAAAACCCTACACACTGTACTATCACTCTAGCTCCTGCAGGTACACTTTAAAAGACAGAAAGACTGAAAAACACCGGATTGTTTCAGAACTATCATCTAACCAGCTTCTTTGATTGTTATTACTGTAATTTTCCAGTGGAGTTATCAGGAGTCAATAACGTTCCTTTAGAATCATAAAAATGTAATAAACAGCAGTTTGGGGTTGATAAAAAGATGGCTAGATTTTGAGCAACTTCTTGCTAATATTTCTCACCAGTGCCAGATTCTCATACCCTAAAAAGATGTAGCTGCCTGCTTGGTGTTTTTGGGGGGCCACACCTGGTGTGCTTCGTGAACATATATTGTACAGGGGATTGAATATGGGCTGGTCACCTGACGGGTAAGCACCTTCACCCCTGCACTTTCTCTCCATTCAACCCTTCAGGGTTGAATTTTATTATAAACACCAAAGGAGTTATCAAAGTTGAAATAACCAACTCCCACTCCTCCCCCAAAGACTCTAGGTCATTTTACCTTGGATCTCTCTCTGCTTATGTTATCCAGTGCCAATGTAAGTGCAGACTACTACTATAACTGCTGACTTTAGCTACTCCATTCCTTTCCAGCGCTCAGTGCTTCATATTTAACACCTAAGAACTGACTCTATTTCATCGGCTGTGATCTTTGTGGAAATCATAATGTAAAGAAACGGCCTCTGCTCAGCCTGGATTTTACAGGCATATATTATCTACAGCTTTAGAATCATCTCATATCTTGTATTTTTAAAAAAATTACACATTCAGGCTAAGAGATAGTACAGTGGGTAAGAAGTGCTTGCACACAGATGTACCTCAAGCCCCACCAGTAATGATTCCTGAGCACAGAGTCAGAAGTACTGCTGGATGTAGACCCAAAACCAAATAAATCAAGCAAAATAAAAATTATACATTTAACAAAGAAAAGAAACATAATCCTTATTAGCAATAGCTTCACACAACTCCAAATTGATCAAGCCCATGATTTCTATTCTTACAGGTAGCAGGTGAACAAGGTAAAATAATTGTATATTCAATCCCCCTGTTTTTGGGGTTATGGTCATAAGAAATTTAAACACACACATAAATTAGAAGAGAGGTATTACCTGGAACCCAGGTCAGTGGGGCACATACAGCATTACTTGCACTAATCCTATGTGCATACTTAATTATTTCTTCAGAGGAAATAGCACCTGAATCAAGAGGCAAATTTCACAGTTTAGTAAATAATCAAATTTATACAATCCTATATCATAGTTGCACATCATACTTAAATGACCTGGATGGTAATCTAAGCTAGTTAACCCCTGCTATCATAAATCATATATATTCCCAAGTTAGAGGGAAATCACAATTCAGGAAATCATCTTACATAAAGCTTGGAAGACAAGTATAACACTCAATAATCTCAATTATTAACTAACATTAAATACTATTATTATTCTGAAAGCAACAACGAACACAAAAGTTTCATCTCCTAATATAGCCAAACTGTTAAACCAAGGAAGTTCATACTATACTACTCAGGTATTTACGTTGACATAAAGCTGTTACATAGACTTAAGTACTAGAAAGATACACACAATATATTCACTAGGTTTTAAAAAATAAAGCTCCTACATAATACATATATAGCAGGGCCTTATAGTTTACTTTCAAGGGCTAGGGAGATGACTCAAGGGCTGAAGCACATGTTTTGCATATAGGAGCCCTAGTTTCAATCTCTGTACTGCATGGTCCCTAAGCACAATGGGCTGTGGTGGCCCCCAAACAAACAAGAATGTTTGGCGGGGGAAGGCAGAGATAGTACAGCAGGCAGGGTGTTTGCCTTGCAAGCAGCTGACCATGGTTTGATCCCTGGTATCCCATATGGTCTCCCAAGCACCACCAAGTGTAACTCCTGAGCGCAGAGCCAGGAGTTAACCCCTGAGCACACCAGGTGAGGCCAAAACAAAAAAACAAAACCAAAACCCTCATTAGTGGGCCTGGGGAAGTAGTATAGGGGTTAGGGTGTATGCAAGGCACATGCCCAACACAGGTTTGATCTTGGGGGCCACAAGGCTTTCTGAACACTGCTGGGAATGTAGCCCTGGAAGCCACAGAGGCCCTCAGCAATGCATGGCTTGAACAGCAGCATATCCCTCAGGCCCTAGCACTGAACCACTGGCTTGGTTGGCTGAGCATCGGTGAGAGTGAACCCAGGGTCTCCTGAAGACTTTTTGGGAGTCCCAAAGAACAGGAATGTTATTTAGCCATGCTCAGGCTTATTTCCGCTGTGTGCTCAGGGCTCCATATGGGATGCCAGGATTGACCCAGGGTTGGCCTCATGAAAAGCAGGAGGACTACCCGCTGTACTATCACTTCAGTCCCCCAAAATGTTATTGTTTCAGAATATGTGTATGTGTACATGTAAGGATTTACATTACTCTTGTTATATAATAAGACCAAATATTCAGTTATCTAAAGGGAAAGAACATAAGTAAATCATGTTAAAAAGCGAAGTAGCTAAAATTCTTACAATTCTGTCTTTAGTACATAAACTAAAACATTCAAAAAAGGAAGCCTTTTCCAGGAGACAGACAGGCAGATTGGGTCTCGCTAAACTCCAGATGTGAGAGCATCCCAAGGCCATATCAAATTCCCACTGCTTAACATGCTAAGCCCCACTCCAGTTGATCAATGGATGTTCTCCTTTCATCATTCTGTACACTATTTTTCAAACTCGAACTTAAAATTCCACTTCCACTTCACAGCTTTCTTTCGTTTTCCTAGCAATTTTAGAAGCCCACTGTATTTATTGCACATCTGGGTACAGTCAACTTGTGATGGTATATTGCTTGTTATAACCTGAAAAAAGGCATGATAGTTCTTAGTAATATGTAGCACAGTGCTAACACTCAGTAGACATTTTATATATATTTTTACTGGAACCCTGTCAAGAGCAACAAATGGTCACCAAAAATATTTTCATTCACTTCCCTGAAATAAAAACTTGGATTGTTTCAGCAATATAGTATTTTTCAGAAATATAATATTCTAATGGAACTAACCTTTTCTTGCTTTATCTATTGATTTGAGTTTTTCTTTTGCTTGGTAAACAGCTGTTGCCTAATTTAAACAACATTAAAAAAAGAAACAAGGTTTAATTTTCACTGTATCAAACCTATACTGGATCAGTTACTGTTTTTCTTTATAGCTGCTGCAGAAGACAACCAGACCAGGTACAATACCCCCCACCAAGAATCTAGTACTTGCATCTAAAAGAGCAAAATTATTTAATAGTTCATGGAATATATTGTTAAAATGCTAATCTTAAATTTATGTTATCATTAAACTCATATTTGACAATTATTATAAAGAACCCCACTGTCCCCTCTCCCACAATAAGGTAAACTAAAAAGTAAAATGAGCTTTATCTAGTATATGTATTCACAAGCTGAGTTAAGAGTCAAAACCATTTAAGGATTAAATTTCATCTCGGGCAGGAGAGATACTCCAGGGAGCAGGGTACTTGTCTTGTAGTCAGCTGACCAGGGTTTGATTCCAAGCACTCTATATGCATCCCTTCTAATCCCAACACTGCCCCCTGCCCCGCCCCCCGAGATCCCTGAGTGCAGAGTCAAGAAAAAGCCCCGAGCATTGCCAGAAGTCGTGAAAAAACAAAACAAAAAACTTAAATTTCATCTCTAATGTCTACTCTTGGTGGACAAGATTCATTCAGAATCCTGGTTTATCTATAAAATGGAATAACAGTACTGACCTCATACAACTATTATGAAGACTGAGATAATATGCATCTAGTTAAAAGCAAAGGGCCTGATATACAAGTATCAATGTCAGCTATATCTGAATCAGTCATTCCTTTATAGGCCATCTATTTATTATCTTTTTTATTTTTTTTTGGCTTTTTGAATCATACCCAGTGGTGTTCAGGGGTTACTCCTGGCTCTGCCCTCAGGAATGAGTCACTCCTGTGGTGCTTGGGTAACTTGGGGGATCATACGGATGCTGAGGATCAAACCTGGGTCGGCCGCATTCAGGGCAAATGCCCTACCCACTGGTCTATAGGTCCAGCCCCTATTATCTTTAAATCAACAATTAAATTTTCAGAAACCTAATCTGAAGAATATAATCCAATTAAAATAAGTTCTGCTTGCTTGCTTATCTAATCACTTAAAAAAGGAGTTGGGGAATGGGTTAGGGATGTACAGGCTGTGCTCAGGGCTTATTACTGGCTCTGCACCCAGGGATCACTCGTGGCAGTGCTGGAGGATCATAAACAACGCGTGGGACTGAACTTGGGTCATCCGTGTATGAGGCAAACACCCCACCCAGTTTATCTTACTGGTACCCCCAAAAGGAAGTTCTAAAAGAATATTCATCAGAGCATGATTTGTAATAGAAAGTTGGAACTTAAAAATTCTGTAATCATGTGAAAAAAGTTTCTTAGTAAATAGCAATAAAATGTCACAGTATTCTGCTGACTGCAAGAGGCAGAAAGAATCATACCAGAATGCAAATAACAGGGACAAATTTTGAGATGAGACAGGTTACTTTTCTTCTTTCTATTTTCCTCTATTTCCTTAATATATTCTGACAAATAAGTATTACTTTAGTAACACTGTAGCACTGTCCTCCCGTTCATCGATTTGCTCACTGTTCATAGATTTGCTCGAGCAGGCACCAGTAACATCTCCATTACAAGACTTGTTGTTACTGTTTGTGGCATATTGAACATGCCAAGGGGAGCTTGCCAGGCTTTGCTGTGCGGGCAGAATACTCTCAGTAGTTTGCCGGGCTCTCTAAAAGGGACGGAGGAATCGAACCCAGGTCGGCCATGTGCAAAGCAAACGCCCTACCTGCTGTGCTATTGCTCCAACCCATTACTTTAGTAGTCAAAATAAATTGTATGAGTAATTTTTGTGGAAGAAAGCATTTGTAATTTTTTTCAGCAGGAGGGGTTAAATACTATACTGCTCAGGGTTTTAATTTAAATATTAACTATTTTATTATTTTAAATATGAAATATTTTAATACAGTGGAACCTTGATTAATGCAGGAAGAGGGGCACTCATTTCTGTGCTGCTGAAACCCACTTGTAACTTCTGACTCCCCCTAAAACTTTAATAGCCTATGGCTGGTTAAATGTCAAACTGAAAAGAACTATAACAAAAGAATGTAACATTTGCTGGATATTACATGTACCATATACTGTATTGGTACAATAAAACCGAAGAAAAGTGTTTTCAACAAAAGGTTAAGAGAAATACATCTATAATGCCTTTTTTGGCATTTACCAAGCTTATGCCATGTTTAAAAGAAATTCCAAGTACAAGTGAATCTGCAGTCAAACCTATGAAGGCCAAGTATCTAAATGAAAGATTCAGACTATTAACAACTAAAATGTATCAGGACAGAAGAAAACTGAAACTTCCCATTTCTATAATTCAATCATGCGAATGCTTTCATGTGAATGTTTTACTGAAAATGCAGTTTCAAAGTAATACAAACTATAAAGACAGAATGAGCATGACATTTCTCTCTCTCTCTCTTTTTTTTTTTTTTGCTTTTTGGGGGTCACACCTGGACATGCACAGGGGTTATTCCTGGCTCTGCACTCAGGAGTTACCCCTGGCGGTACTCAGGGGACCATATGGGATACCAGGAATCGAACCCGGGTTGGCCGGGTGCAAGCCCTACCCACTGTGCTATTGCTCTAGCCCCTGAGCATGACATTTTAGGAATCAAATTGATTCACTTTTGGATCTGGAAAGTTTCCCAACATATCAACCACTTGAATAGATTTTTTTTCATAAATATATTAAACAATATCCTTTTCTTAAAACCTTGAAAACCAACCTGTCAACGTACCAGTATCTGTTCTGCTTCCTTTAGCTGCTTTTGCAACTGCTGAATATCATTGTCTCTCTTCTCTACTTCTTTTTCTAAAACTTGCATTTCATGATGGATTTTCCCTTGATTAAGTGCCAATTTCATCAGCTCTTGAAATTCACCATCTCTATGAATTAACAACTCTAGCACCTGTCAAATAATAATCAAAACAGACAACTGAAAGGATCCAAACAGCACCACATCCTTGGGGACTTTGAGCTAGGTTGGACAAGGACCATCAGTTAGATTCCTCAGCATAATGAGAACCATTGGGGAGCTCCCTCCTCCCTACAGTTTCCATTGTTAACTTGAAAGAATCTTAATCATCCAGATGTCATACAAAATAAACAAGAAAGCTGCATTAGTTATGCTTAATTTTAATTAACACAGAAACTACTTACTTGGTTTTCTTCTCCAGGCTGTAACAACTTTTGGTTTCTTGATATTGCCAGCATTTCAATAAGTTCTCTAGAAAAAGGAAGGGAAAAAGAAACCATTGCAAAGCAAACACAACTGAGCTCTCTCAACCTGTTTCTACCTGTCCTGGGGGCTCATGGAACGTATAGCATGTGAGTGCTCCGGAATAGTGCCCTACAGCATCTCAGCATCTCTTCACTTAGGTTTCAGGATCCCACCCAAAGCCGAGGGACGCGTTCAAGACAGACCTGCTGTGCTCAAACCATTCACAGTGTTGTTCCTCATCAAACCTAACTTTGCAAGTTGCACTTCAGTCCAACCAGCTTTCTTTAGACTAAGAACAAACTGGTTCACAGGATTAGCAAAAGGAAACAGAGCAGCTCTCCAATACAAACCACAAAATCAAAAAAAGACACCCCCCCCCCCCAAAAGCGCTTTCATTCATTGGAACTTTGAGACTTTTGAGACGGCTACCTGGCAGACAAGTTTCACTGGGCCGTACTTGTCAGGCAGTAAGAAGCTGAGTTAACACACGATCTCAGCGGGCAAGTGGACCCCTCCCAAATATTTCGAAGCCGGGAAAATGATAAGAAGCTTTTGAAAAGACGGCCCTGTTCCTGGTTCATGTGAAATGATGTACATGCAGAGGCACGAAGGAAGGCCGACTGTCTTCTCACCGGTGCAGTGCGAAATGGGTACAGGGAGTCAAATCCGAGCACCGTTTGGTGGGATCCAACGCCAGAGTGGCACTCCAGGGAGCTAAGGGCGGTTCCGATTTGACAGACGGGCCCGTGAAAGCCCTCCCCCCGCCCCTGCATTTCCAGCCCTCCCAAACCCGCACGATCTTTCACCTACGGGTGGTGAGACCTCACGTGGCACAGAGCTCTGCATGTGCCCCTTCCGCCTAGCAGCCGCCTAAGGAAGGCTGACGATCAGCTCCTATTCCCAGGCACCCCGACATGTGTCCGAGAGCAGGGGCAGGCGCCCGGGCCACCCCGGGCTCCAGCAGACGCCGCGCCGCCGTCCCAGCTCCCGCGTCTGCCCTCCCCGGGGCTCCTCCAGCTGGGCAGCGACTCCCCTTCACGACAGTTCTCCCAGTACCGGGGACCCAAGGGGGCGTTCCCGATTCATCGAGAGCCGGTGGAGGAAGGGAGACCTACGGTCCTCGGCTCCCTCAGGTCCCTGTCCCTATTAAACATGTTCTCCACTCCCCAGGAGAACATTTTTATGCCGCGTGGGCCGCCGCGAGCTGCGGGCGCCCGTGGGAACGCGGCCCGCCGCGCCGAGCGGAGCCCACGCAAGGCCGGCGTGTCCGCAGCAGAGGGTCCGGCTAGCCCCTCGGACATTACCTCGACAAGACCTCCAGGTCTTCCAGCGCTGACAGCAGCCGCTCCCGCGTGCTGTTCCCGCCCGCCGCTCCCGAGGCTCCGCCGGCCGGCCGCTCCTTCTCCTTCTCGCCGCTCGAAGACGCCGCCATCCTGGCCACTGGCGCAGGGCGAGGCGGGCTCCGGCGGCGGAAGGGAAGGTCACCGAGGCGGCGGGGAAGAGAGGCCCTGTCAGAGCGCCCCCGCGCGCGCCTGGAGGTGCACTGCGGGCGCCGGCGCCCTCTGCAGGACGGGCGAAGGCACGGTCGCTGAGCCACAGCCAACCACGACAGGGAGGGACAAAGCCTTTCCTTGTGCATCTTCTCTTTCTTAAGCCGGAATTCAGCTAGGGATTTTAAGTGGTTGAAGCAACAGTGTAATGGCTACTTCTATCAATTCTTTGTTAAATGTCCCGGGTCTCCACAGAATTAACTATTAGCATATCCATCTAGGATTGGAGTTAACAGGCTTTACGCAAGGCTCAGCCTTTAAGAACATGTTCCTTATCTCTTAAACAGGGTCTTAAAGGTTCCTGGGTGAAATACAACACTCTTCACACACTTTCCTCTAGGGAAGTTTCTTTGGGATCATTTTATAGCGGATTATTCATAACAAGCAATGCAAAATACATTATTTCGATTCTGCTTTGGGAACAGGGCTTGGGGGTGGAAAACATTCGAAATATGGTGGGGAAAGGTGTATTGGTGGTGGGATTGGTGTTCATTCGAATACCAATTATTAAATGTAATGAAACTTTTAAAAAGTGTTAACAGGCTTTGTGAGCTGCGTTCCCAAGGTCTTTTGCAGAAGCGTGGGGACAGAGCATCCTGTGACCCTATCTTTACAGATAACTCAATGAGCAACGCTCACAGATACAGATGACTCTGCAAACTTAGCAGCATTTTTGCCCTGGTTTTGTGTCAGCTCTGGAAATAACCTTTCTAGACCAAACAGTTTCCTTCAATTTTGCTTAATGGCTTTCTTTGTTCTGACTTGATCTATAAAGTCCTCTGTGTACAGAAATGTACTCCACTACTTTCCTAGGAACCAGAGAATCTGCTATGACCTGTCATACCATTCTATGCCTATAAGATAACACTGGTTTGTCCTTTCTCTCTTGCCACAGGGAGCTTAGGTTTATTGGGTTACACCCATCACAGCTTCCAAGTCACTCCTATTCCTCTGTTTATCTGTAAATTCTTCTCTGTGCTCTCCTCCCCAGCCAGTTAATCGCCTTTTCTCCCTAAATCAGATTCTGTTAGCTTGTAAGATCAGATCCTTCTAAGGACATGTATTGTATTGTATTGTATTGAACTTGTATTGTAAGTTATGTCTTTTGCATGGTTTACCTTAAAGCAATGTCCTTTCTGTATGGACACAGGAAGACAGTTAATATTATGCTTTGTAACGTGGGAGTTGATTGACTCCAAATAATATTTACTCCTGGGCATCTGCTTTTTCGACTCAGTTGCCATTAGTTCCTAGCACCCCAAAAGCAGGGTCCCGACAAGGGACTGAATGGACCCAGGGCAAGCTGTGAGCTACCCTGGCATCGAAATGGGCCAGGCCAAAGTGCCATGACACTCAACTATAAGTTGAGGGCATGATCATGGACAAATGCTGTCATGATCCAAAAGTAAGTAACGATGAGACTAGGACCCTGCTGGGGCTAGGAAGACTAACCTGGCCTGAGGACTGTAATATATATATATATATATATATATATATATATATATTGGAATATATAGTGAGATGTCCTCAGGAAGAACCAAACTGTAAGTTTATATCTCTTACTGTGCTCATACAGAATGATATTGCTAGAAATATTGGAAGTAGACTTACTACAACTATTTAAGTAGATTACTATCTGAGGAAAGAACACACCCTTGTTGGGATCCCACCCTTGAGCAGATCTCCTAGTCACAGATCAGATCACAGATCATCCTGTTATTCCTCGATTGCCTCGAGCAGGCCCCAGTAACGTCTCCTTCATCCTAGCCCTGAGATTATATTCAAGGCTCTTTAGGAGAATGAGACCCATCATTGTTACTGGTATTTGGCATATTGGGTACGTCACGGGGAGTTTGCCAGACTCTGCCATGTGGGCAGGCTACATTCAGTAGCCTGCCAGTTTGTCAAAGTAGGAATGAGATGTCATAATAATCGCGGCCACGCGGTTCCAGGAGCTAGTTTTTATAGTCTCTGAGTCTTGTCCGCTGATGGGATTACACAGCGCCAGGGGGCCAGTTGGTGGGTGTGACCCCCGCCTACTGGAATTTGGAGGATCTGGGTGGAGGATGCTCGACTCCAATCCGAGTAGGCTTGGAGATCTCAGCTGGAGATCTCCTAGTAATCTGGAATATTCTCTTTAGATGAGATTTTCCCCTTGAGTTAATCTCCTCGAGGAGTGGTTTTACCTCTCTTTGATGATGTGTTAATGTTCATTGATTGCTATGTAAACTAAAACTGTAAACTCGGAGGGGGCTTGGGCTCAAGAGAGCAAAGACTGAGGCTCAGGCTGAGGCTCGGGCTGAGGCACGGGCTCGGGCTCCAGAGGGCAAAATCAGAGGTGAGAGTGAAGATTGAAATAAACCACAATTGATACCGACCAGCCTGGCCCTCATTCCTTCCTTCACCTACCTCGCTGTCGACCTCCCTGGGGTGGGGGAAGGGACATGAGATTACCAAATGCAGGCGGCGGGAGAGATAGAGTGCCGCCAGCCTTTCGAAAACACACATATGCCTATAGAGCAGTAAACTTTTCTAACTCACTGTCTCCATGCTATTTAATATCTTCGCATATTGGGCCTCATACCTCATATCTCATCTCCCTGTGATGGCATTCTGTTATCTCTATCATGAACCTCTCTTTAGTCTACATTCCAAACACTTTTCCAATCCTCCTGTTAGTCATCTCATGGAAGTGATACACACGTTAGACCAGGAACCATCACCCTTTTTCTTTTCTTTAATTTTTCTGTAGCACACAACAAAATTGACTATTCTAATTATTCTTCAGTGTCCGGTGCAAGTGGCATTAAATGTGCTCATAGTGTGAGCTACTACCACCAACTTCCATTTTCAGAAAGATTTCATCAGACAGAACAGAAACTCTGTACCCATGGAACAAGTCTCCATTCCTCCTTATCCACAGCACCTGGCAATCACCATTCTATTTCTGTCTCAGGATTTTCACTTTTGTAGATACTGTAGCACCGTAGCACTGTCCTCCCATTGTTCATGGATTCGCTCACGAGGGCCCAGTAACATCTTCATTGTGAGACTTTTTGTTACTGTTTTTGGCATATTGAATATGTCATGGGTATCTTGCCAGGCTTTGCCATGAGGGCGATTTACTCTCGGTAGCTTGCCGGGTTCTCCAAGAGGGACGGAGGAATTGAACCCAGGTCAGCCTATCCAGCCGTGTGCGAGGCAAACAAAAACCATTGATTACTTGTTCTTTTGTGATTGACATTTACTTTAGCTTAATGCCTTCAAGGTTCATTTATGTGGAAGCTTATGTCAGAATTCCCTCCCCCTTTTTAATATTTAAAAAATTTACTTACTGGATTTTGAGGCCACACCTGGTAATGCTCAGGGGTGAATCCTTGTCTTTACTTAGGAATTACTCCTGAGGGGGTGCTCAGGGGACCGTATGGGATGCTAGGGATTGAACCCAAGTGCAAGGCCAGTGCCCTGCCCACTGTATTGTATCTCTAGACCCAAACTAGGACCATTCATGATTCCTCTCTCTTAGAAAGTGAATAATACTCTGTTCTGCACATGTACACTCCACATTTTGCTTACTCACCATCTGTTGACGAATACTTGCTCTGCTTCCATGCTTTCCTAATCCATCTTTATAATCACACCTCTCTCTACAAAATGTGCTGCTCACTGTTCATGAAGACAGTTGAAATTAATTTATGTAGTTTTGTTAGTGAAAATGCTTTAAATAATTGGTATAGCACAATTCCAAACCAGAAGTGTATCAAAGTGTATCAAAGCCCAAAATACACCTTAACCCACTTTTTCTATAGTGAACAAAGTACACTTCAACCCAGTTTTTCTATACATAATAGAGGACTTTCCCTACCAGGGACATTCAAAGTTAATATAGGACTGTTATGAATCCAGACAAGTTGGATTATTAAAGAGGAGGTGAACAGATGTCACCTAAAGCCTACCAGAAGGAGTAAAGCAGGAGCACCTGTGGTTTCCTCATTCCTGCACCTGTCCTCTGGTCTATTCTGCTGGGCACCACATTGAGAGTCTCTTTAGGGAACGTGCGAATAAATTCATCCAGAACGATTGCATAACCCAGAATGCCAATGATTTCACTCACAAGTAAAATGCTAAGCACAAGTTTCTTCATAGAAAAAGTATACAGGGAGCAAAATTGCCACCTGAATGTTTTTTGTTACAGTGAAGATAGAGTTTTTTTTTAAAATAATGAACACAACAATCAGAATTTGGATCTTTACAGTATAGGATATTTATGCCAAAGAGATTGGAAGGTTAGCGTTCATCTGTCACACTTCCCTAGACTGTGCAAAAACCCTTGGACACCTTTTGCTTTTCAACCACCCTTCCCCACTTCTGTTCCTGGCTAACCCCTTATGCTAAGCAGCCAATTCTCAGATAATGGAATAAGTTAGTTTTAGCTTCTTAATTACAGTTGCATTCTAAGCATGTCTCCCAGAGCTCTAGTCAACAATTTTTTTTAATGTTACTTTTCTGAAGGGCTAAACTCCTGCCATCTGTGTGGATAAACATGTCCTTGTTTATTTACTTGACAAGCATAGATTTATCTTGGGCAATGATTCTGGTTTGGGGAAGGGAAGATCATAATGGTGTAGATTCTACACAAAAAAATTGAGGAAGTCTAATCAGTAAAAAGTGACCAACTTTGAATTCTATTTATGGAAATTAAAGGTCATTGTATGTATGTTTTGAACTTCTGAATACCTCAGTTTTGTAGCTAGTTCATTTGCACTTAGAACAATGTCCACAGACTTATGCAATACAGATATACTCATTTGCAAACTGTGCAAGATCAGGTATGATGGATAAAATATGACTTGCTTTATATGTTTTAAGAAAATATGAATATATTTTCTGAGCATCCTCCACCCAGATCC